TTGTGCAGCTGTATGTGGTCGACTAAAATGTGCTGATGTTAGTAAAGAAGAAAACATACAACATTAAACTGACCAATCAGAGATCTAGGAATAGCTTGCCCTCTGAGTTTAGAACAAAAGAACACCCTGCTCTCCCACAATAAAACAATACAGCCAAGGTCCAACTTGGGGTAATCAAGCTGGGGACAAATACCAAACACACTCAAATAAATACCTAATCCAAATAAAACTACCACAACCAAACTGTTTAAAAATGATACCGTATTTACACAAATAAAATAAATAAAATGTAAAATATCACACTGCCACATTGTCAAGGTCAATATGGCGATCCCGACGGGGCGTAGTAAAACGTTGTTGTCAAGGTCGTGGAAGGTCACGGGTGCTGCCTATCTGCTGATGTCGTCTATGAAGCCTAACGATGGTGGAGTGGCCAAGTCCAAGTTGTCAAGCAATATCCCTGCTGCTGGTGCCAACCTGACTCATGCACGTTCTCTTTCGTGACGTGTTAACCTCGGCATCTCGTTTCACAATCGTTAGCGAAGCAATGAGAATCGTGTCTCATACACCTGCTTTTAAGGTCAAAGACTGCATGATGTCAGAATGAAATTCGCACTTTTTTCATGGTGTATCTGCATGTTGATGCCCTTGGACTTCACGTTAGTAATATCCATTGATCATTGTCATGCTGAAGTCCATCTTGATGAAAATATGGACAATTCTAGACTGGTGCGTTTTCGATGTTGGTGAGTATTTTTTTCTGTAGATGTGTCACTCGGTAACCACTACATCGCACATTCCGACCACAAAGCCACATGTTCCACAAAATAATGAAAAAAATGCAAAGATGTTTATTATTTATTTCAACGTTTATTTCCAAATTATTCAACAAAAGGCTATCTGTAAAAGGAGAAGACATACACCTAACAGAACAGTGAATACTATACAACCTACATTTTGTATAGTTCATGTATCGATCAGCAGACGTGGTGGACGTAATGACACGGAGCATGGCGGTATTGTCATGGCTACTTCAATCAGATCAGTATAATCTCGTTGGCTTTTGAATGACATAAAGGCAATTCATAATGGCAGTTCCACGTCAATTACTTAAGATCCCCAGCACTTCCTTTGCTAGGACTAAGTTTAAATTGAATACAAGCTAGTTCCTGAGTGGAACAGATGGACGTCTTCCTTCAGGACTTCTTACACATGATCCGTTATGCCCCCATTTCACTGGGCTACGACCTATCAAGACTATCCCGACTAGTGCCGATTCGTCACCTACGATGTTATCGTTCTCAATCGGCCAGATTTTGTTAATATTTTCCTTTTCTACGCAGTATCTACGGTAAACCTACGTAATGGACAATGACGAAACTGTAGATTTACGTATAAATGACGATAACACTGCGATTGAGCACCCGTTGTTGATAGGAGTTCACCCAGTATTGGCCGATTGGCTACGTTTAAATCACGTTTTGCGGCGATATATCTACGCTTTACCCCGATTCCCTCACGATGCTCGCGGACACGGTGATGTAAAGGCTTACGATATCGAAGACTCATTGCTGATTACATGCGAAGATTACCGATCGACGTCGAGTAAAGTACGTATAATTGCCGAATAAGACACGTAAAATCGGCCTCCAAACCACCAAATGGTCCGACGATGACAGCCGATTCTTATTATCTAGCAACATTCTCACAGCTGCACAACTACTTCTTTTGCTGCAACAACATATAGGCTTGGAGATAGATATCTATCAATACAGAAGGAACCAGGCACCAAACAGAAGAAGAAAACAGAAACGGTTTTGGGTACGTCCGTGGTTGAGGTTGGAAAGAAGATTGAACTTTGGAAACTATGACAATCTCCTATCTGAACTCAGATTGGAAGACACGTCTTCTTCTTTCTTCAACTATCTGCGAATGCCTCCTGATATGTTTGATGAACTGCTTCATTCCCTGTCTCCCAGACTTACCAAAGAGACATCAACTTCAGAAAAGCTCTGCACCCTTGTCTGAAGTTCGATAGTAATATTTAATAATAATAATAATAATTGATTTATAGAGCGCCTATTTCCAAAAGATATTGCTCAATGGTGCTATAAAGAGAACGGATTGTAGACAATGTCTATGGAAAGAGAGTTTGAAACGATGAGTTTTGAGGGCAGTTTTGAAAGCGTCAGCAGATTCTATTCCTTTTAGGGCGAGTGGTAGAATGTTCCAGAGATAGGGGGCTGCAGCAGAGAACGCTCTTGATCCCATGGCTGTTTTGACGTGAGGCTGTGTAAGCAGTAGGGAGTTTGACGAGCGGAGCAATCGGAACATGGAGATGAATGAGGCTTTTTAAGATATTGAGAAAACATGTTTTCATAGATGCAGCTGTGTGTAAGAAGAAGAATTGTATTGAATTCTGCTTGATACAGGAAGCCAGTGAAGAGTTTGAAGGATAGGTGTCACAGTTTGGTAGCGTGGTGCACGGGCAACAACACGGGCGGCTGAATTCTGAATCCGTTGGAGTTGTGAGAAAGGAGCTGTTGAGGAATGTTGTAATGGGGAGTTGCAGTAATCAAGTCTAGAGAGAACAAGGCTGGTCGTTAGAAGCTGGGCGGTGTTGAAGTCTGGCCCCGAGGTTATAAAACTTTCTTGAGTACGATCTCATGCTCAAATCGGGTTTCGTGCTCAACTCAAAACTCAGACTCGGTAAATGGAGGTTATTGAAAATTCTGAGTACGTTTTCGTGCTCAACTTGAGCATGAAATGCTATGATCTCAAGTATGCTCTGGACCGTGCTCAACGCTGAGTTCGATGTCAACAATGGCAGCTCACCTGCGTCAGATTCGGCAAGCTCGGCGGACATCCCGTGTACCGAGTGTTCCGAGATCGCACGAACCCGCTCGAAGATTTAGGAGTCGATGAAGTGTTTGAGAGGTATCGTTTTAGACCAAGAACAATAATATATTTGCTTGGGCTTCTGGATTTACCCATACACACAGCTCGGAACTGTTCACTGCCACCTCTGTTGCAACTACTCCTCTGCCTTCGCTTTTTGGCGACAGGCGCTATGCATCTGTTGGTTGGGGACAGTCTCAACATTTCTAGATCAACAGCGGGCAGATGTATACGGGCAGTGTCAGTAAAAATAGCCGAACTGTCGAAGGATTTTATCCAGTTTCCAGTTGGAAGGGGCGCCGTTCGTGCAAAGGAGGCATTCGGCAACATTGCAGGTACGTACATGGGGTTTTCCCAATCTAAACATACATAAATGATTTCATTGGTGTGGTTCGCGTCAGTGATATTTTGATTGGCCAGTGTATTGGGTCAGGGGTCGAGGACGTGTCACAGATAACAACAAACCCTTAGAATTTAACGATGATTTTAATCTGGGGCTTTGGTTGCGAATGAAAACTGTTTTAAAACTGAAAAATAAAATATGCTATCTATTGTGAGACTATGATATATTGTACTTGCAGGATTCCCGAATGTCGTTGGGTGCATCGACGGTACTTTTATCCGAATACAGCGGCCGACTGCAAACGAGGGAGACTTCGTGAACCGGCGAGGTTACCATTCCCTAAATGTTCAGGTAACTATCGATATGAATAACATAATTAACATACGCAATGAGTTTAGGGTTCGTTCGAAGATGGTGTAGGTGTTGGGTGTGATTTCTGATATGTACATTTGGAATGATGATATTAAATTTTCTCTTCTGTTATAATCCTACAGATGTGCTGTGATGCAAACTTTAAAATCACCAGTTGCAACGCCAGCTGGCCCGGATCAGTGCATGACAGCCGCATCTTCCGGACATCAACACTGTGCCGTCTGTTTGAAAATGGTAACCTATATTTCAGAACATTTACCTAACAGTATTGTGCAAGTAAAAGCAAGATATAGTTGATGGTTTTTTTACATATAATGCCAAAATATTACAAATAATGTTATTGTTATTATTGGTTAATATGTAGAGTGAAAGTATAGTGATTAATTCTGAAAGTAGTAGATACTTTATTGAGTTTCAGTTGATATACTATGATAAACATTGTCTTTAATCAAGATGAATATAAGTATTCCAGCAGAAAGTGTTATTTCACACAATATGTATAATTTCAGCATTGCAATTCTTAATATCTGAAATAAATATCACATATGTTATATCTACACATTTCGCTTAATACATTATGCTGTCATATTTTACAAGTTTTCAAATTTTTTCGCTTAATACATTATGCTGTCATCTTTTACAAGTTTTCAATTTTTTTCGCTTAATACATTATGCTGTCATCTTTTACAAGTTTTCAAATTTTGTTTGTTTAAGGACAGTACACTGGCTTTCTACTGGGGGACTCAGGCTACCCATGTCGTTGGTTCCTCCTGACTCCTTTACTGAACCCAACCAATCGTGCTGAGGAGCGATATAATGGTTCTTTGTGCAGGACAAGGGTGCTCATTGAGCAGACATTTGGCATTCTGAAAAAGGCGGTTTCAGTGCCTGCACAATGAGCTTCGGGCCACACCTAAGAATGCAGTCACCTATGTTGTTGCATGTGTTGTCTTACACAATCTGGGGATTGAAAGGGGTGATATAATTAATAATGAAGAAAATCTTGTGCCTCCAACACCAAATGCTAATGACAATTATGTACCATTAGTTACAGGTCAAAATGATGGAGCTGATGTGAGACATCACATTATTCGGACATTTTTCAATCATTAATCATACTGCCATTGCCTCATTACAATTATATCCCTTTTATTGATTGTGCGCGTAATATTGCTCTGCAGAAATTATTGTCACCCCTAAAAATACATGAATAAAGCTGACATTGTGTAACACTATTCCTTTAGAGGGAATACAATACTGTCAAAAATGTTATTAAAAACAACTGACAGAACTGAAGTAATATGGTACTTAGTAGACTTAATGAATTCTGCAGCAATACCATCTGGACCAGGAGAGTGGTGCAAATACTGTTTCAATTAAAGGTTAGGCTGATGAAATACTACAATTTACATCTTCTTGATGAAATAGTTCTTACTTTCCTATTTCAAACATTTCTGCTTAAAAATGTAAGACAAAATCTTGAGTAAAATTTGATGTCATTTATTCTTCAGTTTTCCAGTTTTCCAATGACACTCCAAATTCGGCATTCATCTTAAGTTGATAGTATATTGATCTGACATGGAGCAACTGAATTTCGGAATCTAATTTCTTTTGATTTTTTGCTAACATTTCAATTTCCATTTGCAGCTTCTTTTGTTCAAGTTTAATCCTTTTAGTGTCCTCTATTGTGTTGTGATATGTTGCCTCAGCTTGATTTCTTCTCTGCTTCCGGCTTTTTTTTATCACTGTAAGCATAATGAAACAGACATTTGATATGTTTAGTGTAAAGTCAATTATCTAACAATGTTCTATCATACGTTCTGTTAAAATGACAACTTGGGATGATATTCCATGCAAATATGTTACTGTTTGCTAGTATTGCACTTGTATTATGGTAACCAAACTGCAACTTTGACAATGTAACATATGTTATGTGTGGGATTACACTTTCTTAGTAAAGTACAGATTCTAGTATCTTTTCAATTGAGTCCCATCCAGGATTCGAACCCACACCCTCAGAGTCAGGCACCTAATCGCCAGCACACAAAGTCAGCCGCATAACCCATTCAGCTACCGCATTGTGTGCTGGTGATTAGGTGCCTGACTCTGAGGGTGTGGTTTCGAATCCTGGATGGGACTCAATCCAAAAGGTACTAGAATCTGTACTTTACTACGAAAGTGTAATCCCACATATAACATATGTTACATTTGACCACTTTCTAAATGGCATTGTGTAATCATAACTTTGACAATACTGAAATATGCACATTAGTTCATATTTTGTTTTTTTACATATATTAGTATAATATTTCAAATGTACCATCTGAATCGTTTTCCTGTTGAGGCACTGCCCTTTCACCTTGTGGTTCTTCACCTACTGGGCCTGTAAAAGATGAATACCATTTTTCACATTCAAGGAATTAAAGATAACTTATCTTTTTCCAAGACAGTATACTTATATTGTTCACATTAATGGAATTGATATTTTCACAAAATAAAGGTTATTGGTAATACTATTAGTTGAGATTTTAGGAATTATGCTCTTGAAATATGTAATTTAAGGGAAACAATCCAGCAAGTACTACAGATGTTTCATGTTATACATGAGATGTGTATATTACTGTATTACATGTAAATAGTATTCAGAGACCATAAAATGTTTGTTTTACCTTCTGCTGCAGTGTCAGTTTCATCTGCACAGGCATAAGCATCTGTTGTAAATAGGAAAGCAAAATGTATTTTTCAGCTATTTTAACTTTTTTCAATTTATTACAGTTACATACAAATACCTGTACCTTCAAATGTTATGACTGAGTAATTGTCTTCAAATATATTATTTGACACAGATTAATCATTACCTGAATGCTTTGAAATCGATGTAATACACAACAAATGTATTATTTACTATGATCACATGAATAGCAAGCTTTGTGTCTTAAAAATAGTACTTGTTGTATTTGTCTCGGACAGTACTTGATTTGTCCATGATGGTGGTGTCAAGAAAGTTTTTCTTATTCCTTGTTTGGTCATCAGAATGAAAATGTTCCAGGTTTTAAGTCTCACCACAGGCAGCAGTATTATCTAAATGTTTGCACAAAATTGATATCATTCTTTAAAAATATGGAAAAAGACTCCTTACCATCAGTGTCAATGCCATGGTCTAGGCCATGAATGCCTGGCCTCCCTTCCAATGACTGGGAAAGCACCTCATCTGCACTTGTTAGTGCTGGTGGTGGAGGCCCTCCTCCAGTAACGGCCATTGACCTTTTGAGGCCATCGATCTTTGCTTTAGCTACAATAAACAAATTGCAGGTTAAATTCACTTATTAATACACATATTTTATATTTGGAATATATCTGAATAATAAACAATGATTCTTACGTTGACATGTATTCATGTGTTATGGAGAGATTAAGAATCATTTTCTGTATTTAAATAATAAGTACCTAATACATAATCATGGATGAAAAACAAACCCACTACTATTTACATCAAATGTGAAAGAGTACCTCTTTGCTTCAGATTAAAATACTTCTTCTTCACCTCCAGTGTCTCTCGTTTGGCATTGATGTGTCTACTGAAAGTATACAAGTTTTATTATCAAATTTGATATCTCCACACACAAATGATCAGTTACATAATTATACCACCCATCAAAAGTTTAGACTCACTTAAAGCACTCACAATATGTTATGTGTAAAATATATAAGTGGTTACATTGAAGATGAATTTCTCCACTTACTTGGGGGAAACTTATTCAGATGAATTGCATGAGGATCATGCATCAAATTACTGAAAAGAATGTGCAGATATCTTGCATGTGAACAGCTGCATTTTGGTGTAAAGTTTTGTTACGAATTCACCAATTTTCACTGAGTTTCATCATTTATTGAACTCATGACAATAATTTTTTCAACGTTATGGATTTGTTTTGCAATACATCAGTTCATGTGTAAACAGTATCCTTAAACAGTATGGTATATTTTGCAAAATCTAGTTTTCCACAGTTGACTGAAGTAAGTGGCAACATTTACACTAGTGAGTCTAAACTTTTGATGGGTAGTATACATTTGTGGGTGGGGTATGGGAACAGGTTACAGTTTCACACAATACAGGTCACACAATATATATTCATCTCATTTAACAATGACATTTGTCAACAGTAAATAAATTCATAGCTATACAGGCATTGCTTTGAACAGCTGATCCAGGCATAAATCAATAATCTCAATGTTAACAACATGAACAAATGGGACCATTCATAAGTTTTTTGACTGGGGGTCAGGGGTTTGGGAGTCATTCCCATTGTACATGCTTCTCCAATAAATTAATCAACCACTCACCCCGTAGCCATAAATTATGAACAGTCGCATAGATCGCCGAAATTGTTTCGTTTTTGGAAATGTTATTGTCTTTACAAACTAAGATAATTTGTTATTATTTTCATTGTTGGGAAAATATGGTAGTGAGTGGTGAGGGCTTTGGTGATCTTTTCGAGGAACAGTAAATACAGAATATGGAACGATGTTGAACAACTTACGCGTTTAGGGTGTCTGTGATTTCTTGCCATCCATCGGTACGCTGTCGATGGATGGACTTTACTCCACACCCTTTCATGTCTCCAAAGAGAGTTTTCTCTCGCTGGAGCACTTCTTGTATGAGGCAAACCTCCTCCGCCTCCGACCATCCTTTCCCACGTTTCTTCAACTCGGGCACGCCCTCCGTTGCCATTGTAAATATAGCAGACGACAACATCCGGGTCGTTTTTCTTACCTTTCTTGACAGAAGAGTTCCAAATTGCCGCTTGTGTGATAAACAAAGAGTACCTTGAGCATACTCAAGCCGAGTGTGAGTTGTACTCAGCTGAGTACGTGCTCAAAACGTTTTATAACCTCTGCTTGAGTACGATACTCAGCTGAGCGCGATTTTGAGCATGAGCACGAATTTGAGCATGAAATTGAGTTGAGCACGAAAATTTTTTTATAACCTCGGGGCCTACTTTCTTCATCCGCTGAACAAGGGGTTTGTGCGTAGTTTAGCATTTGAAATATTGAAGGTGTCCATTCCTCCTGGTATCTGCTTAGTGTTGGCCGATGGAAGCCAGCACCAGCAAATGCTAGAAGGAATGATCACCCCGAAGCAGCCTTTGTTTTCCAGATGTCGTCATCCGCTGAACACGACTTGAATAAGTGATCTACCCGAAAGAGAAAAATTGTATGTTTTGCAGACTGCTGTGACCAAAAACCACCATGGATTGACTGTGTGCTTAGTATTTCATTGTTGACTCCACTGGACACTAATCCTTCGCCATCATGCTAAGATAATAGATCCAATCAAGAGCTTTTGTCAGGGCGATCATCTTGTTGTCGGACACCACTCAATGCAGTGACATGCAGCTTATTGCCGTGTCAGCGTCTCCTCTCTGTCATGAGAGTGTGCTATATTATGAGAATGTATTTGCTACATCCACAGTTCGTATCTTTGACTTGAATACAGACAAGAGAGGAAGAATGAATTTGGATCATGAGACGTGCTACTTGATTCCTTGCATGTGCCTGGGTGCTTGCTGGACAAAGATGACTAGCACTAGCATATGCACGGGGAGTACACGGCAACACTCCTCCTATTTCCTGAAGACAGCAAGAAGACCTTTGGGATTCTCAAGCAAGGAAATGAGCCTGTATGCATCCCGCATCTGTTTTGTGCATGCTTGGATTACAAGGCTAGCACTTTAGCACATGCTGGAGGTTTATAGGGTCACTTTTTTCAAGTCAACCTTCTGAGCATTCCAGTAAAGAAGATCGAATCCATGACTGCTTGACTTGACCTTGCGTCTGTTCTGTGCTGGTATATAAACCACAACTAGCACTAGCACATGCTGGGGAAGTTAGCAGTAGCAATTCAACTCTGTCAAGCTCCATCGTGCTTCAATACATTTAGTTAGAAACCGAGGTCAAATCTTGTGGTATTTGACAAGTGCTTGCAAAAGTTGGGTGGCTAGCACTATCAAATGCTGGGGATTTTCCATGTACTTTCTTCAAAGGGGTTTGTGCGTAGTTTAGCATTTGAAATATTGAAGAAGGTGTCCATTCCTCCTGGTATCTGCTTAGTGTTGGCCGATGGAGAAGCTAGCACTAGCAAATGCTAGAAGGAATGATCACCCCGAAGCAGCCTTTGTTTTCCAGATCATCGTCATCCGCTGAACACGACTTGAATAAGTGATCTACCCCGAAGCGAAAATTGTATGTTTTGCAGACTGCTGTGACCAAAACCACCATGGATTGACTGGTTTGCTTAGTATTTCATTGTTGACTCCACTGGACACTAATCCTTCGCCATCATGCTAAGATAATGTGATCCAATCAAGAGCTTTTGTCAGGCGATCATCTTGTTGTCGGACACCACTCAAGTGTGCAGTGACATGTGCAGCTTATTGCCGTGTCAGCGTCTCCTCTCTGTCATGAGAGTGTGCTATATTATGAGAATGTATTTTGCTACATCCACAGTTGTATCATTGACTTGAATACAGACCAAGAGAGGAAGAATGAATTTGGATCATGAGACGTGCTACTTGATTCCATGCATGTGCCTGGTGCATTGTTGGACGAAGATGGAGTAACACTAGCATATGCTGGGGGTTACACGGCAACCTCCTCCTATTTCCTCTGAAGACTAGCAAGAAGACCTTTAGGGATTCTCAGCAAGGAAATGAGCCTGTATGCATCCGCATCTGCTTTGTGCATGCTTGGATTAAAGGCTAGCACTAGCACATGCTGGAGGTTTATAGGGTCACTTTTCAAGTCAACCTTTCTGAAAGGCATTCAGTAAAGAAGATCGAATCCACGACTGCTTGATCTCCCCCTTGCGTCTGTTCTGTGCTGGTATATAAACCACAACTAGCACTAGCACATGCTGGGGAAGTTAGCAGGCAATTCAACTCTGTCAAGCTCCATCGTGCTTCTGCAATACATTTGTTAGAAACCGAGGTCAAATCACTGGTATTTGAGCAAGTAGCTTCGCAAAAGTTGTGGCTAGCACTATCAAATGCTGGGGATTTTCCACTGTACTTTCTTCAAAGAGGGTTTGTGCGTAGTTTAGCATTTGAAATATTGAAGAAGGTATCCATTCCTCCTGGTATCTGCTTGCTTAGTGTTGGCCGATGGAGAAGCTAGCACTAGCAAATGCTAGAAGGAATGATCACCCAAGCAGCCTTTGTTTTTCCAGATGTCGTCATCCGCTGAACACGACTTGAATAAGTGATCTACCCCGAAGAGAAAATTGTATGTTTTGCAGACTGCTGTGACAAAAACCACCATGGATTGACGACTGTGCTTTAGTATTTCATTGTTGACTCCACTGGACACTAATCCTTCGCCATCATGCTAAGATAATAGATCCAATCAAGAGCTTTTGTCAGGCGATCATCTTGTTGTCGGACACCACTCAATGTGCAGTGACGTGTGCAGCTTATTGCCGTGTCAGCGTCTCCTCTCTGTCATGAGAGTGTGCTATATTATGAGAATGTATTTGCTACATCCACAGTTGTATCTTGACTTGAATACAGACAAGAGAGGAAGAATGAATATGGATCATGAGACGATGCTACTTGATTCCTTGCATGTGCCTGGTGCTTGTTGGACAAAGATGACTAGCACTAGCATATGCTGGGGTTACACGGCAACACTCCTCCTATTTCCTCTGAAGACAGCAAGAAGACCTTTGGGATTCTCAGCAAGGAAATGAGCCTGTATGCATCCCGCATCTGTTTTGTGCATGTAGCGGATTAAAGGCTGGCGACTAGCACATGCTGGAGGTTTATAGGGTCACTTTCAAGTCAACCTTTCTGAGCATTCCAGTAAAAGAAGATCGAATCCATGACTGCCTTGACTTCCCTTGCGTCTGTTCTGTGCTGTTATATAAACCACAACTAGCACTAGCATGCTGGGGAAGTTAGCAGCAATTCAATCTAACCAAGCTCCATCGTGCTTCAATACATTTGTTAGAAACCGAGGTCAAATCACTGGTATTTGACAAGTGCTTGCACAAAGTTGTGGCATTTAGCACTATCAAATGCTGGGGATTTTCCACTGTACTTTCTTCAAAGGGGTTTGTGCGTAGTTTAGCATTTGAAATATTGAAGAAGGTATCCATTCCTCCTGGTATCTGCTTAGTGTTGGCCGATGGAGAAGCTAGCACTAGCAAATGCTAGAAGGAATGATCACCCCAAGCAGCCCTTTGTTTTTCCAGATGTCGTCATCCGCTGAACACGACTTGAATAAGTGATCTACCCCGAAGAGAAAATTGTATGTTTTGCAGACTGCTGTGACCAAAATCCACCATGGATTGACTGTGTGCTTAGTATTTCATTGTTGACTCCACTGGACACTAATCCTTCGCCATCATGCTAAGATAATAGATCCAATCAAGAGCTTTTGTCAGGCGATCATCTTGTTGTCGGACACCACTCAATGTGCAGTGACATAATGCAGCCATTGCCGTGTCAGCGTCTCCTCTCTGTCATGAGAGTGTGCTATATTATGAGAATGTATTTGCTACATCCACAGTTGTATCTTGACTTGAATACAGACAAGAGAGGAAGAATGAATTTGGATCATGAGACGTGCTACTTGATTCCTTGCATGTGCCTGGTGCTTGTTGGACAAAGATGACTAGCACTAGCATATGCTGGGGGTTACACGGCAACACTCCTCCTATTTCCTCTGAAGACAGCAAGAAGACCTTTGGGATTCTCAGCAAGGAAATGGGCCTCATGCATCCCGCATCTGTTTTGTGCATGCTTGGATTAAAGGCTAGCACTAGCACATGCTGGAGTTTATAGGGTCACTTTTCAAGTCAACCTTTCTGAGCATTCCAGTAAAAGAAGATCGAATCATGACTGCTTGACTTCCCCCCATTGCGTCTGTTCTTGTACTGGTATATAAACCACAACTAGCACTTAGCACATGCTGGGGAAGTTGGCAGGCAATTCAACTCTGTCAAAGCTCCATCGTATGCTTCAATACATTTGTTAGAAACCGAGGTCAAATCACTGGTATTTGACAAGTGCTAGCAAAGTTGTGGCTAGCACTATCAAATGCTGGGGATTTTCCACTGTACTTTCTTCAAAGGGTTTGTGCGTAGTTTAGCATTTGAAATATTGAAGAAGGTATCCATTCCTCCTGGTATCTGCTTAGTGTTGGCCGATGGAGAAGCTAGCACTAGCAAATGCTAGAAGGAATGATCACCCCAAAGCAGCGCCTTTGTTTTTGAGATGTCGTCATCCGCTGAACACGGCTTGAATAAGGGATCTACCCCTACCAGAAAAATTGTATGTTTTGCAGACTGCTGTGACCAAAACCACCATGGATTGACTGTGTGCTTAGTATTTCATTGTTGACTCCACTGGACACTAATCCTTCGCCATCATGCTAAGATAATAGATCCAATCAAGAGCTTTTGTCCAGGCGATCATCTTGTTGTCGGACACCACTCAATGTGCAGTGACATGTGCAGCTTATTGCCGTGTCAGCGTCTCTCTATATCATGAGAGTGTGCTATATTATGAGAATGTATTTGCTACATCCACAGTTGTATCTTGACTTGAATACAGACAGAGAGGAAGAATGAATTTGGATCATGAGACGTGCTACTTGATTCCTTGCATGTGCCTGGTGCTTGTTGGACAAAAGATGACTAGCACCTAGCATATGTCTGGGGTTACACGGCAACACCTCCCTCTATTTCCTCTGAAGACAGCAAGAAGACCTTTTGGGATTCTCAGCAAGGAAATGAGCCCGTATGCATCCCGCATCTGTTTTGTGCATGCTTGGATTAAAGGCTAGCACTAGCACATGCTGGAGGTTTATAGGGTCACTTTTCAAGTCAACCTTTCTGAGCTTTCCAGTAAAGAAGATCGATCATGGCTGCTTGAGCTTGCCTTGTCTCTGTTCTGTGCTGGTATATAAACCACAACTAGCGCAGCACATGCT